ATTAGCCCACGAAAGTGTTATGGATTGTAACAAGAATACTGCTCGATGGCGTGCTGGAAGATGGGCCCGCTAGGTTGAAAGGCAGCCAAAATACACAGCAGCCACAACAATGGGCTCGCGCATACTAACGTCGGTGAAGATGGTGCAGGACCTGCAGCACTTTGTATTGTTGTACGTGGGGTCGCCATGAGTCAGAGCCAACGTGACAGCAGCTAACAGCAACATCACACATAGGAGCTGTGTGTTCACAGTACACGCAGCTGAGAGGGCCTCTGTAGCCAGTCAAAGCATCTATAAGAGAAATACTGGCCACCAGACTCGGCAGTGTGAGGCCCTCATGGAGAAGTATCTGGGATATTCGGGCAGGGAGTCCCTGAAACCTGTAACTGAAAACTGCAGAGAAAGAAAGAGTACCCGCTCTGAGAAGCCGAGGGCTGCCCGGTGTAAGCAGAGGCTTGTCTGTCTGCTTGAGCCTGCTTTCCTGTCCTGCTGTGGGACTAATCTCCCCATCTTGTTTGTTCCCGGCCAGCTGAGGCCCTTACTTCCCCTTCCTGGACTTTGATTTCTTTATCTGCAAACTGGGAAATTCCAAATGGAGGCCAGGGGTTCTTCAAGCTTCCACACTGTTAATTCTAAATGTCCATGAGCAGACCCTGGGTGACACAAACAGTTACGTATTAGCTACTTTAGCTGAAAGGTTGGTGGTTTAAGCCCACCCAGAGGTGCCTCGGAAGACAAGGGTCACCATGAGTCAAAATCAACTCGATGGCAGCTAACAATAACAAATGTCCACTTCACTTAAGAAATCTGTGTTTTCAGACTAAGACGGGTGTGACGGTGAAGGCTGTGTGGCAGCTTGGCTGGGCCATGATTCTCAGTGGTTTGGCGGTTATGTAGTTACGTAGTTTGGCAGTTACGTACTAATGTAGTCATCCTTCATGATGTGATCTGATACGATCAGCCAATCAGTTGTAAGGGGAGTTTCCTTGGAGGCGTAGCCTGCATCCAATATATATATGAACATTCTGGCAAAGCTCGCTCACTTGCTCTGGATCCTGCAGCCAGCTCATCATCATCTGACTCCTGGTTCTTGGGACTTGAGCCAGCAGTCTGCCATATTGCCTGCCAATCTTGAGATTCATCAGCCTGCACAGCCTGTGAGCCAGCAGCCTCCTGTCTTACCTGCTGACCTTGGGTTTCTCAGCATCCACAGTCCATAAGCCAGCGGGCTGCAGTCTGACATGCTGATCTTAGGTTTGTCAGCCACTGTAGCTACGTGAGTCAG